CAGCTGGGAAGCTGGGATGGGGACAGCCTGGAGCCCCCCAGTCAGCACATGGACGAGCCGGGGGCTGCCTCAGGGGTGAGGCCGAGGTGCTGCCCGGGGGGCTCCCGGCCGTGCTGCCCCAGTTTTCCTGGGAATGCCTGACTGCCGTTCCCGTTGCAGGGCTGTATGGCAGGGAGGGGATCCTGCCGGCCCGCAGGGTGCTGCGGCTCAGCGGGAAGGGGCTGTGGGAGCAGCTCCGGGACTCCCCCACCCTGCTGTGGCTCAGCCCGCGCCTGGGGCTGGACACGGAGCAGGGCATGGAGCTGCTGTGCCTGGTGGGCATCCTGGCGTCCCTCGGAGCCCTGCTGTGCGAGTCCATGCGGGATTGCCTGGTCTTCGCCCTGCTCCGGGTGCTCTACCTGTCCCTCTACCAGGTGAGGGGCTCGGGGGGGTCCCTGGAGGGGGGTGGCACCGTCCTGTGAGCTCCTGGTGTGCTCAGATTCCCTCGTGGAGCTGGGGAAGGTGTTGGGAGATACAGTCAGGGAATCAGGGAATGGTTTGGGCAGGAAGGGAATTTTAATCCCATCCCAATCCAGCCCCCAGGGGCAGGGACACTTTCCACTGGCTCAAGTTGCTCCATCCTGCCCTTGGATATTTCCAGGGATCCAGAGGCAGCCACAGCTTCTCTGAGAGATTCATTCCAGCCCCTCCCCACCCTCCCAGCCAGGAATTCCTTCCCCAAATCCCATCTAACCCTGCCCTCTGGCACTGGGAAGCCATTCCCTCTTGTCCTGTCCCTCCATCCCTTGTCCCAAGTCCCTCTCCAGCTCCAGGCCAGGTTGGACAGGGCTTGGAGCTACCTGATCCAGTGGCAGGGATTTGGAATGGGATGGGATTTAAGGTCTCTTACCACCCAAACCATTCCATGATTCCATGAATCCTCCCTCCTGCCACCCCGGGAGCTCCAGTGAGTCAGAGCCGGCTGCTGTGGGGGGAGGAGGAGGAGGAGGGTTTATCTTCCCTCTGGAATCAGGGATAAATCACCCGTGTTTGGCCATCCCCCCTGGGGTAGGGAGTCGTCACCTCCCGGGGTGGGGGCTGTCCCCTTGGAATTCTGTGGGGGCTGTCCCCTTGGAATTCTGTATCCCGGTGTGGCTCTGGCTGTTCCCGGGCCGTTCCCTCCTCACTCCCTTTTACGGCAATGCTGGAAGCACATCCCTGGAAGCACATCCCTGGAAGCACATCCCTGGAAGCACATCCCTGCTCCTCCCCCGGGCCGGGCTGTGGGCAGGGAACACTCCCAGTGTGGAATGGCCCCCCCGGGACACCCCCCTCCCCTCGAGCATTCCCGGGCTGTGATCCCAGTGCTGCTGTTCCCACGGCTCCTTGGGATTGGCCTGGAGCCCCGTGCTGGGAAAGGAGCTGGGGGGGGCCAGGGGGGGTCTGTGCCCACCACTCTCCATGTGGGGAAGGGTCTGGGGGTCAAACCTGCCCCACTCACCCCCTGCTCCCTCTCCACAGGTGGGACAGGTCTTCCTGTACTTCCAGTGGTGAGTCAGA